AGACCTCTCAATTTTTGATGATATTGGAATCGGTAAACCTATATTGAGCTCATCAGGCATAACATTTCCAATAGAAGTATGGTCAAGATTTTATGCTTTCTGAATAAAGGTCGACAGGAATCCCTGAATCCAACTCTACACATATTTCTAACTCCTCTTTCTTGTAGTACAAACACCCTATCAAACAAGTATTGGCAACATGTTCCCTAAAAACAGATACCGTATCTCACATGAGAATCAATGAGAGCAAAGTACACATTTTTTGACATATTAGTGCCCAATTATTTGCTGATACTCTGACTGCAAATCATCCTGATGAAATTTTTTTACATAGGTTATTTATGTGACCTTCCAAATCCAAATTTTTATCAATTTTCAATCCCAGAAATTTTGCTGACATTTTGTTTTCTATTAATTGAGTACCCAGGTAGATATCTAGTATAGAGCACTTGAGGGTGATGATGCTAGTTTTTGAGATATTAAATGACAAGAGATTACCATCACACCAGTCTTTTATTTTTTTAATATCCATGCTGATCAAATCATGTAGTTCGCTTTCATTCTTGCAATGCCACAATAATGTAGTGTCATCAGCGAATTGGGTTATTTCTGCGATTATCTTAATGCGGGCTAGGTCGTTAATATATAACAAGAAGAGAATTGGGCCTGGAATCGATCCTTGTGGAACACCAACAGTAACTGTCTGAAGATGGAATATGTTGTCCGGGAGTTTGACTTTCTGAGTACGTTCTGACAGGTATGATCTGAACTATTTCAAAGATATATCTCTAAAGCCATACACTTCTAGTGTTTGCAGCAGAATTCCATTATTCAAATTGAGACAAACGTTTTCCAGTAGACGGAACATAGCATCTTCCGTGTTTTTCTACCTCTGAAACCCAAACTGACTGCTACTAATAATATTATGCTTATTCACAAATATCAACATTTTGTGTTTAACAAGTTTTTCTATGAATTCAGCAAGGACAGGTAGCATAGGAATAGGCCTAAAATTGTTAGGATTGTTAGTGTTGCCTACTTTGTGCAAAGGAATAGCAATGGCTGTTTTTGAGCATGCCGGAAATACATCCGTTATGAAGCTTGTGTTTATAGCTTCCACCAATAAGAAAACGATCAGTATGGTGGCGAGGTATAGTAAAAGTATTTATATGTCTTGAGTTAAGGGATTGTACATCAGTTCTGTATTGTATTTTATCTTCAATCTCCCAAAAAAAAACACTCTGAACAACTACTTTTCCTTTAATTTGGAATCGGTCCGGCAAAAATTCGATGGAATTTCAAGAATGAATTCCGAACTCTACGAGAGATAAATTATATGAAATCCCACTTCCTGGTGAATAAGTGAACATGATGAAATAAAAGAAATGCGTACTCACATGAAAATTTGCTAATCCTCAATAATAGAGTGGAATGCCACAACCAACAATATCATAAGTTTAATATAGGGGATAATTTCCACTAATATCGAGCCCAGGAATATAATCCTCCAAGGGAATTGATATCACAAACTTTTCATTCCACAAGCCCTTTAAAATTTTCTTCAATGGCTGCCAGCTACGATCTTCGAGAACAAGGAATTTTGACCTTGACCGGGAGAAGGATTGCATTCTCGCCTATTTTGAAAAAGTTCAGTGATAAACGCGCATGCCCCTCTGATACCTCGGCCAATCCGAGATCAAAAATCGAAAATTCATCATTTCAACTAATTACCATAGTCCAGGTAAATTAGTCCAAAAGAAAACATTCAAAACCAGAAACGTGTTCAATATAAATTGGGAATTGTTTTAAACAAATCATATATCCTCAAGTATAGGTTAGCTGGAAAATAAAAATTGGATTCTTCTTTTACTTACCGGGTGAAATGATCTAGTCGAATTGATAATTGAAGCGTGATATTAGAATATGGTATTATTTACTCAAAGTTTCAAGGAGAAAATATTTACCGCAAATTTAACCCGGTACTAACAGTGCATTTTATGTGAATGAAATTTATGTGATTTAGGTACTTTGCTTATTCGCGGGATAATTCTGTTGCTGTAGCTGCCTGACGAGTATTTCAATTTACGTTGCTTCGTCCAGTTTATTGAAATTTTGCTACTAGTAGGCAAATTTACACGTGACGTACATTTCTCTCCAGGTGCCGCTGTTGTTTTAAGGACAAAAAACAATCTTTGTGGCACTCTAAGAGCGGTGGCTGTGCGAAGGTAGCGATTCAAATTGGATTTGAATGGCTGGAGATCAAATTCATTCAAAAAACAATCTCAGGAAGACTACACATGAACACAGCTTTTCGAATGGAAGAGTTCCCAGACAGTGGAGTTCAAGGTGTACTGACGTGAAATTCAAAACAATGAGCAGCCACGATCCGTTACGTATTTCTGATATGAAGGTGGAATCAAATGGGCCAAGTCACTTGAACACTTTCCATTGAAGTATCTTAAGAAAAGAGACAAATCTCCAACCTTTCTTCAATGTGCCAGACTATCAAGGTTGCGAGTGATGTTCGCGTCTCCAATCAGGCGGAAGGCTCTTTTCTGGATGAAATCCACCAGCTTTAGGGTATGCTCAGGGTGAAGCTCCATACATAATAACAGCACTCCAAAGAAGGTCTGATCTGAGCTTTGAAAAGCATTAAAAGTTGCTGAGGTTTGTACAGTTTTCTGGGTCGGAACAGTATTTCAAGCTTTTGAGGAGCACCCTTTGCGATTCCAGCGACATGATTGTGCTGAGACATTTTGGTCTCCATTTCAACCCTCCAACAAACTTATCGAAACAGAAAGCGGAATTGTCTGTCCTGGCATTATTATATCCTGTTTGACATTCAACTTTCTGGAGAGAATCTATGCCTGGATTTTTGTGGCATTGAATTAAACCTGGTTATTTCCACCCCAATTTGAAATCACTTCTAGATCCTCAATAAGATATGCTTCTGGTGAAGATGTGCATCTGCAGATGTTCTGGAATCCAAATAGAATGCCAAAATGAGTGTGCTGTCGCCAGCAAAGCAATATATTGAATTCGTTTTTTTTCAGTGAGTCGTAGATATACAATAAGAATAGGGTTGGAGACAATATGGATTCCTGGGGAACACCAGCGTTGGTGGTGAAAATATTTGACAGATATTCATTGAAGGTCACTTGCAGAAAACGTTCTTTCAAGAAGCTGAAGAAGTTTGGCCAGCAAACCTCTATACCACACATGGTCATAGGTTGAATAAATATCAAGCGCAACAAATCTTGACCCTCCATGTTTCTTTATTGCGTTATTCCAAATATGGATGACATACGATAGAAGGTCGCCTGTGGATCTCTGTTTCCGAATGCCATATTGATGATCGCTCAAGATGTTAAAGCCCTTTTTGGGAATGGGCTGAACACGAGCAATCTTCTAACAAGAAGGAAAAACTCCTTCCTTGTGAGACAGTTTGGAAAGTCTACAAAATACTGGTGCAAGTTCATTTGCACACTTTTTTAAACGACGAAGGGCACTTCATCAATACCAGACGCGTTGTTAGTATGAAGCTTTTTGAAAATTCGCCTTCGTTCTTAATAAACACTGATAAATAAAAATCATTTCCATGTGTTCAGCTGTGTTGTACACCATTGTTATTTCATTGAAGGAACCGCTAAATTGCAGGCATTCAAGTCGTGGCATTTTCAACCTCAGTTCGATTGAGAGCTTATGAAATGATATCTCAATTCTAAATTATTTCTACTGACGCAACAGAGGTGAGTGCCTGAAAACTATGCGATGATACATTTATTTAATCAATTTTCAACTACGGTGATATTGTTTTTGGCTCACACCTTGATCTGGGAACTTCTTCCAGGATCCAAAAAGTCAGAATACCTATCTCCGATCGTTATTTTCGCTGAAACGAAGAGATCATGTGACAACATTTTTAAACAATCTCGGGTAGCTGAAAATGTCAAATTGAAGAGAATATTATTTTTTGTGCTCTACTCATAGATTATTGAGAAGCCAAAATTATCCCACGTCAACAGAATCACTTTAGAGACCTTCGTAACATCAATGTGTTCACCCTTGCGCGTCACTCTCTATCCGTTTTCGAACTTTCTTTCTCTCATAGCGCTGTAACCTTAGGTTGTAACCGAATACAACTTTCATCCTGATGAATTAAAATTGCTTTGTTTTCTGCGTTTGAAATCAAATCGGAAACAAACCATCCTCTTCGTTGAACAATGAATCTGACTGAATTGAATCGAATTGAACTGGACCAAATTAAATTTTTCGATTCATTTCATGAATTTCTCAGCCAGGCGCTTTTTTCACTCACTCGAATTGACTGCCGTGTTGATCGGTGGTTCAAGCCTTAGTCTGAACGATCGATTTTCATTTGCTATCGTCTAACCCGTGTTAGGAATCATACGTTGAAAGTCAAGACCTCGTTAATCCCTAACTCGCACAGGTTTCGACTTCTGAGGGTTGTCGTTCGTGAGGCTGTGACAGCTGGTTAACGGAAAAACAGATTTTCAAACAGATATCAATAATTATTTCACAAATGAACATGATAAAACAAAATTATTCGGATAATTTAATTGACTGAAAAATAACAATTATGTTTAGCAAGAAAACGGAAATTACAATGAAATAAAATACAAGCAACAATTAAAAATTGAACTATTAACAAGAAACGAAAATTAAAAATTATTACCAAGAAATGAAAATCAAAAACTAAAAGATTCCAAGCCAAGTTACTTCACGACGTTTCGATTGTTAGTATCCACAATCGTCTTCGGGTGATATTCAATTATACAGTGAGTATATTATCCTCATCATTTTACTTTCTCACGTTCATTTTCGAATTGATTCACCTACATGTACTTTTCTAACTATTCGTGCTATCTTTTTTCTGCTGAAGAACTGAAATATGATATTCTGGTTTCCAACATGATTAAAAGTGATAGTATGACCAAAGTCAACTGAAGAACTGAACATTTACCAATTATGCATCCTTTTTTGCAGCTGGAGAACGAGAATACCATTGCAATAAAATAGAGTATTTTTCCGAAGAGATATACAGTCCCGATCCCAATGACTCTTCACCGGCTATTCCATGTGAGTATTATCACCTTAAAAATTTTAAGAAAAACTTAAAATATCATTTTTATCTGAAATGTAGGCTATATACAGTTATCTATATTATACACATGTCAAAAATCACATTGTATTTGCGAAATATCGGTTTGATGGTTTTCGAAAAGCATCTCTTCAACTGAAATGATCCTAAATAATAACATTCGTAATGAAATGATCACAGAAATGATTCACAAATAACAAATATGATCGATATCTCAATGAAAAACAGAATAGGTATAATACAAACTGCACTTGAATAATTTGGTACCATATCACAGAAGTCAGTAGCAGTGAAAAAGAAATCATTATTAGTGAATCGATTTAGATGATGTTCTATGTATTTTCCCATATTTAGCAATTGGTTCGTTCAGATATGCTTACTCGAAATATATTTTCTCACAGGTACAAATCTGAAATATCTTATTGAAAGTGGTTGAGACTATCTTATCGGATGAAACAAAATCAATCTCTGATGATATTCCAATAACTCCTGTTGGCTATTGAAAAATGACATATTGAGTAGTCGAGTCGATCTTATACAGTGCATTTCTTTAATGTTCCCCCCCTTTTATTTTTTGAACGAGTCCACTCAAAAAATTGAAATTTGAGATAATGAAATTAATGCATGAATACTTTATTTTGAAGTGAAATTGACAGATGAACCTTTCAAGATGCCGACTGGGCGCCATCTGGGAAAACAAAAATTAAAAGGAAAGGGGGGTCTTGTTACACATCTTTTTGAAGCTCGTGACAAATGCTTCACAACCCTAGAATATGATGTCAATATCATAAACTACTACAAAAGGACGGAACAAAACTGTTTTTTCCTTAACTAACTGTCACACCCCTACGAACGACAACCCTCAGAAGTCGAAACTTGTGCGAGCTGAGGATTACCGAGGTCTTACCTTTGAACGTGTGATTTCTAACACGGGTTGGACGATAGCAAGTGAAAATCGATCGTTCAGACTAGGGCTTGAACCACCGACCAACACGGCAGTCAATTCAAGTGAGTGAACAAAGCACCCACGTCGAACCGCCTGGCTACCGACCAGAATGCATTGACATTCAACTTCATAATATGAGGTAATGAGCTTGAGGTTAGTTCAGAAAATGCTCCAAATGGTTGCCTTGAACTTCTTGACAGATGAGCAGCCTATCCGATTTTTCACGCTGAACATTTTCAAATACAGTAACGTCGATATCTCTACAAATATTCATTATTCTCTGCCAAATATTCAATATTGAAGCAGTTTCGTACACCTTCTGCTTCAAATTGCCCAATAAAAAAGCCCAAAGGTGTCAAATCTGGCTAGCGGGCTGACCATTCTGTAGGACATCGACGGCCAATCCAAAGACCGGGAGTAATGTGATGGTGCTCCATCTTTTTAGAATAAAATATAAATACCAAATTCGACCTTTAACAAGGCAAAACGTACAAGACTCGAAGAGGACTGGGTTATATATCAAGCCAACCTCAGAGAGTTCAAAAAAGTCTGCAGACGAAAACAAAGAGAAGCCTGGAGAGCCTATAAACTGGACGGACCTTGTATAGAAAGCCATTGTTGGGGATTGCAAAAGAAAGGACAACCTCCAAAGGAATATACAAGTAGGATCTACTTCATTTATTAATTTTGCCTTGTACAACTTTTGCTTCTTTTTAACATATAAGGAACATTTCATATCACCAAGAATATTCCGTGAACTCGTAAGAGCAAGTAGTGGTATTTTGTAGTTAGCANCTACAGATACAGATACAGAAATACCAAATTCATTAGGATTCGCTTCAACGATTTCAGTGATGAAAGGGTCAACGGTAGTTTCCAGCATTCCAGCAAAAATAGAGGTCCTACAATATGGTTTCCCAATGTTTCTGCCCAACCATTGCCGTTCAAAAAAATGTGCATTCGTCGCCGAAACAAATATTGTGATTTTCGTCATGATGTCGCAGAATTATGTTCTTCGATCAGGGTCATCTTCAGTTAATTGGTGCACCATTTTAATTTTGTATGAATGATACCTATTCATCTTCAAAAGTCTCCACACAGTAAAAGGAGACACCTCACAAACATTCGCGACGAAATAAGTAGACTGTGCAGGATTTACTACCATCTCACCAAATATTTGCATTTGCTATTCTTCCGGAATGGACGGATGACCTATTATGTACACTACCGGTAAAAGTGAATTTGGATACAAGTTCCCCCAAATATTTTCTACAGATAGGACGATTCGGAAAACGTTCAATGAAAATCCTCACAGTCTCGTGAAAGTTACGCCCGTCGCACCTTAAATAAAAATCGCTTCGATTTTGTCTTCCAATGGACGAGAATTGACCATTTTAGAGATTGTTGACGTGGTACTATACGTTCTCAACTACTTTCGATGTAGACTGAGGGGTAGTTGTAATTGAGCTATCTATCTACGTCCACTTAGTACCATTTTCTGTAAAGTCCCCCTCCCCTTTTATTTTTTGAACGGGTCAACTCAAAAAATTTATATTTTATTCCACTTTCAGTAGGGGCATTAGCCACTCCCTGTTTCGCGGCTGTCAGTCCCAGAGATTGGCAATGTGCTGCCGTGCAGTTCTGACTGATCCAGGCCAAAGCACGAGATTAGCTGGCATATAATGCTAACTATCTCGGTCCTGTCCCTTCCAGCCAGACCGCGAAGCAGTTCCTCCATACTACTAGTGGACAAATTTGAACGAAATTGAAACTTATCAGGCGTGAGCACAATGAACAGAAACGAAAAAGATAAATTGGAACGTACTCACCAGAAGTCTGGTAGGTTCTTGCGCACTATAACCAACGCACTAAACTATCACGAGAAATTAACCACTGGTAAAAAATCTGTTTAAAATCTGGTAAATGGCTGATCATCTAACAGGAACAATCAGAAATTATCGTATTTCTTCACAGCAAAAATTAATGTAATATGTCGAAATGTGGGTTACTGACATCAATGCATGAATAACTCATTTTGAAGGGAACTGGACAGACGAAACTTTCAAGATGGCGACTGGGCGCCATATGGGAAAAAATTAAATGAAAAGGGGGTTCTTGTGACACATCTTTTTGAAGCTCCTGCCAAATGCTTCACAACCCTAGAATATAATGTCAATATCTTCAACTACTACAAAAGGCAGTGCATGCATACAGTATTATTGGCATTAGAATCGTTCTGACCATCAGTAGCTTGACTTTCAGTGCCATGTTGCTACTTCTTCCTATGATCGGCGCCAGGCGTCTTCTGGCCTGTTTGGCCATTCCTATTCTCTGCTGTACGTGGTCCTGGAATGTTAGCTTCTTGTCTAGGATGACCCCGAGATATGTTGCTTTGTTTGTCCACGGAATCTCTTGTCCGTTGAAGATGACGTTGCCTTCCGGTTGTACGAACCTGCGGGTGAACAGTATCGCCTGACTCTTGTCAGGGTTGATACTGATCTTCCACAGGTTAGCCCACTCCTCTAATCTGTCTGCCTGTTGTTGCAGGTATCTTGTTACGAGTGCTTGACTCCTAGATCTCGCCAGCAGGGCCGTGTCGTCCGCGTAGAGTGCCAACTTGTTAAAGTTGTTCTCTGGCTTGGGCACGTCTGCCGTGTATACGGAGTAGAGGTGTGGCGAAAGGACTGCACCTTGCGGGACTCCTGCCTCCAGTAGTCGAACTGTTGATAATTCGTCTCCTACTCTGCATCGGCATCGCCTGTCAGCTAGAAAAGACTGGATTAATCTTACCATTGGTTTGGAGTATCCGAAATCGCTCATCTTGGCTAGTAGCCCGTCGTGCCAAACTCTGTCGAACGCCTTGGAGACGTCTAGGAAGATAGCTCCGGTGTTGTGTCCTTTGCCAAGGTTGAAGCCTTCTGTCGCAAATTCCACTACCCTCAGGACTTGTAGCTCTGTTGAGTG